ATTTGATACACCTGCAGGTGCACCTCCAGGGGGCTGTTGTGGTGGGCCAACAGGCAGCCACCAATGGTATATTTAAAGGGTTTATATACTGCAATCTTTGCTGCAGTAAGCATGGGTCAGTAATGCAGGGGTCACAAGGTATATGCGTTAGCTCATAACAACTCAGCACCATTCAGAGGTCACAAGGCAGGGGTACATACATTAACTCATAAAGGGTTACACAACTCAGGGTGGGAGTACATGCTGATTTAGATTGTATAAGCAAATCACATTAAGGATTACAAAATTCAAAACAAGGGTACGTTTTTACCTCATAGTCATAAGATGAGGTTCACATAAGGGATACATAATTTAGCACAAGTTGAGAAAGCTTCCAAAGAACTTGGGACTTTTCCATCAAGGGCTCAACCCCTCCCTGCACTCAATCCCTCCCTGCATACTTCCTTAATTTCAGACTGTCTCTCCACCCTTGATGAGGCTGGGACTAAAAGGCTTAGGAGAGGTTTCCTTTTCAAGGGTAGGGAGCTTGTTCCCCCTCTTGTCTCAGCGGGGAATCAAGGGGTCTGGGTCATCACAATATCAGTGTTCTGATAATGCTCTATATATGCACAGAAAAGATTAAAATGATAATGGACATGTTTGCCTGCTATCAAAACTCTGGGTTCATTTAATTACGATCTGCTTTTATGTCCTAACACGTTTAAAAAAAAAATACCACTTTAGATCAAACATTAATGAAATAAACCTAATAACTTAGCATAGGAAAGGAATCTTAGAAGTAATATCTAAGAAAATGACATGAAGTCTATGTTAACCAGTTTAATGAGAGTATTTCAAAAGTATATGAAAACACCACACTATACCCCATGATTGCATTAATGTACACAGCTGTGATTTAATAAAAAAAAAAAAGAGTAATTTATCTCAGTTATTGCCAACCTTTCATTTATAAAACATCCTTCTCAGAAGTTTGTTCAAAGTAGTCTTTCATACTCCACCTCCAAATATTCTGATGCAGTGTGTAAACACATTCATTTCTGATAAGCATGTGATGATTTTGAGTTAAGTTACTGAGGAACCCATTTTGAAAACCATATCGCCTCATGGTAAGGTAGATAAAATATAGAAACACTTACAGAGATTAGTAAATCTGCCTCAGGTCACTCAGATAATTATTGATGGGGGGTGTATTACCAGAATTTAAGTTTCTGCTATTAAATAAGACAGTAACTCTTACCAATCACATTATTATCTGAGTAGGTGCACGAAATAAATCCAGTGGAATTCCATCAGATTTTTCCCTCGGGATTCTTTTCCCTGAGGAAGGCAATATGTCTCCAGATGGCAGTAGCAACTATGGAATGAAGCCATGAGTTTTTTCTTTGGCCCATTTTCTTCCCAATTAACTATAATGTTTTGGCGTGTTCTTAACACAGAATATGTTCAACACTATCAAGGGAGCCAGAAAATTAGCTGCAAAGAGCCTAATGCCATTTTATAACTGGGAATATCTTAGTAATTATGTAGTCATACCTATCATTTTAAAGATAGGGAAATTTAGACAGTGATGTTCTCCAAGGTCATACAGAATTAAACTTGTCCACTGCCAAATCAAGGCTCTTCTAGTATAACTACCGTGGGAACAAATTAGAGTGATAATACAGACAAGGAATTCTCCATTTATTGAAACTTCTTATGAGAAAGAATGTAGTTTGTAATAAAAGTCAAGCTAAATGATAAAAATATTACAATAATTAAAGCATTGAATTGAGAATATAATATTAAAAATGACACTAAATGCTTTTATGGCAAGCTTGAGAAGATACATAGAAAGGAATAATGCAAAAACATTTTCTGTTGAAAAGAGTATTATTATAGAAGGTACTAAAACATAATAATTAGCAAATAAATTAAATTTTAAAGAAAGAAACATTTATTCAATATATTATTTTCTGATTTCTTCCAGTAGTAGATACCTTGTTAAACCCTAGTCTATTAAAGCACTTATTCTCAGTCAGATGAGCAAATCTGAATTACCTGGGGACTTGTCAATATTCACTTGCTATTTTTTCATCAAGGCTAAGGTGTATGTCAGGGACAGAAATGTTTATGTTGGAAAAGATCACCAGCAGGTTTTACTTTGACACTTTGGTGTCAACCATACTGAAAACATTGCATTATATTTTCTATTAACAACTCTTTGGCCAAAAAGAAAGCAGATAATTATAATTTAATTAACACACATTGGTCATTGCTTTAAATGATTAAAAACAAACATTTTCCATCAATCTAGTCACTTATTTTAATCCCGAACATAATAAAATATTGTTAATAATTCTAAAAAATACGATGTTTAGCATCTATTCTGGGCAACTTTGGGTCATAAGAATGTAAAAATTAAAACAAGTTAGATTGGTGATTATGCTACTGATTCCCTGAACAAGTATGTTATATAAAAAGCAAATTGACAAGCAAACCAGGCATTCTGTGTATATAACTACATGAGAGGCTAGGAAAACAGCATAATAAAGAGTCATTTGACGTATGACTACCCTATGGTCATATTCGGAAAGGAAAAGAGAAACTACCTATGACCCTTTGAATTTTTTTCAGATAATTAGGGAGTGCACGTTTTGTTTACATACTTTATTTTTATACAGATTGAGTCAAAATTATAAGTGTGCCCTTCACCCAGATAGTGTGCACTCTACCCAATAGGTGGATTTAGTTATCCCTTCTTTCCCCCAGCTTGCCTTTCATTGAGATTTACTTCCATATATATACTTAAGTGTTGATAGATTAATTCCAATTTGGTATTGTATTGAGTGCATATTCTCTATTTTTGTGATGTTTGACTTAGAAGAATGATTTCTAGTTCCATCTAGATTGTCACAAAAGATACTAGGTCACCTTTTTATGGCTGAGTAGTACTCCATAGTATGGATGTACCACACTTTATCCATTCATGTATTGGTGGGTACATGGGTTGTTTGCATATTGTGTGATTGTGCATTATGTCACCATAAAAATTCAAATGCCAGTGACCTTTCTTTTTTTTCCTTTTGGCTTATGCCCAGCAGTGGGATTTCTGGATCAAATGGCAGATCTACATTAAGTTTTTGAGGTATCTCCTTAGAATTTTCCATAGCGGTAGGAGTAATTTGCTGTTCCAACAACAGTGTATAAAAGTTCCTTTCTTTCTACATTCCCACCAGTATCTGTTGATTTTGGACCTTTTAATATGAGCCATTCTCATAGGCGTTAGGGGACATCTGATTGTGGTTTTGGTTTGTATTTCCCTAATGATTAGAGAAGCTGAGCATTTTTTAATGAGTTTGTTGGCCATTAGTATATCTTAATTTGAAAAGTTTCTGGTCACCTCACTTTTTCTGGAGGTTGGTTGTTTCTTGCTAATTTGCTTGAGTTCTTTGCAGACTCTGCTTATTGGTCCTTTGTGAGATATATAGCATGCAGATATTTTCTCCCATTCTGTGGTTTGTCTGTTTGACTTTTGATTGTGTCATTGGCTGTGCACAAGCTTTTTAACTTGATCAGGTCCCATTTATTTATTTTTGTTGCTGCTCTGATTACTTTGGGGGTTTTCTTCATGAATTCTTTGCCTAGGCTGATAGCTACAAGAGGTTTTCCAACATTTTCTTCTAGGATTCTTATAGTTTCAAGCCTTAGGACTAAGTCTCTTATCCATGATGAGTAAATTTTTGTGAGTGGTAGAGTACAAATCTTTTTTCAGTCTTCTACATATGGCTATTCAGTTTTTCCAGCAACATTTATTGAATGGGTAATATTTTCCCAAGTACGTATTTTTATCTGTTTTCCCAAAAATCCGATGAAAATATGAGGATTATTTCACCTATGCAGTCTCTCTTCTGATTGGTGAAAGATCGCTATAGGGAACATTATGAAACACTGAGGAAAGAAATTGCAGATTATGTAAACAGATGGGAAAAATACACCAGGCCCTGGGATTGGCAGAATCAACATGGTTAATGTGGCTATACTACTGCTCAAAGTGATTTATATATTCAATTCAATTCCAATTAAAACAACAATGCCACTTACACAAATCTAGAAAAATAAATAGTTCTATACTTTGTATAGAACCAAAAAAGACCCCAAATACCCATTGCAACCTTACTAATAAGAACAAAGTGGGAGGCCTCACTTTACCAGACTTCAAGCTATACTACAAGGCTATAGTGACCAGAAGAGCACACAAAGTCAATACTCATTTTGTTTTTTGTTGCATACATTTGAAAAACATGATCATGCATCTAAAGGAATACTGTATTAGCAAAATAGGGAAAGGGTAGATTCTGTTTGCTAAGTGTATAAAAACAAAGTAAACATGAATATGTTTATTCTTTTCAGCAACACAAAATGCGAAGTAACAATAATGATATCAGCGGTTCAGAAAAGAAGATGCTTAAGAATAAGAAGGTTCTAGACTCCCAGTTTAGCATATGGGACCTTGTGCCACTTGTGACTTTTTGGAAACTTTTTAACTTTTCTGAGCCTCAGTTTCCTTTTCTGCAAAATGAAGTTAATAGTTCTACTAATGGAGTTATTGCAAAGATCAAGTGAGCTAATATGTTAAGGGCTTAGCACAGGGTCAGAAATAAAAATGGCATTATAATTACTACTATTACAATTATTCTTTTAGATTTACTTCTTTTGAAACCTTATCTCAATTTACTCACAATTTTAAGTATCTATGCTCTGCTACATTTTGTAAAGAGAACAGATATTATTTTTTCTACATGTAGCTTTAAGGAAGCAATTAGGAAAGTATACATTCTTCAACAAAAATGTGTAGACAACTAAAGGCAAAAAACAATGTTTTTATCCTACCAATTAACTATGATCTCTTCATCATAAGCAACATTCTTCTGCTTTCCCTCATTAAACTAGAAAATATAACTGGTGGACATTCTCCAGCAGACACACAGTGGTCTTAATGGCACTTTTGCTTTGGGTTTCAGGTACTATAACCTGTGCTGCTGACATGTTCAGCTGTCAGGGCTCCCATGCCTGTGTGCCCCGACATTGGCTTTGTGATGGTGAAAGGGACTGTCCAAATGGAAGTGATGAACTTTCCACAGCTGGCTGCGGTAGGAACCTTTCCTGGGACGGTATATCAAAGAAAGCTTCTACAGCACTCTTGGATGTTTGTTTTTATAAATTTACCATATCACATTTTCCGTTATTTACCCAATTCCTGAATCCATAGGTATCATTAGACTTAATCGGGTAGAATGTTGCTATCCTAGTAGTTCTGCGACCCCTTTAACTGCTGTTGAGAGTATTTCAAACCTGCACAGTGAAATTATCCATTTAAAAGCCATTTTGATTAACACATTTATCATTTCACGTTTGAGATACTATAACTGCAGTGTATGTATGTGTGGATGTGGTACGTTTGGTGTTTGTCATGTCTTCCATCACCACCCGCCATGATGGCTTTTAAATTGCCTGTTACAGATACTCTGTAAATAGCTTTCTGATTCAAGTAACTACTGATCAGGTCAGTAAATACTGATTCATTCCATGGACAGGTATTAACCCTTGGGTCAGGTAAAAATAGTATAGATATAGCTGAATGAAGCTGAGGGATCAAAGGAACACCTGTGAAAGTCAAGCAATTTACTAAGTTTTTGACTCTAGGTCACTTAGGAAATTTTCAGGTATGTACTCAATAGCAAACCTTTAGAAAAATTCCGTTGCATGATCAGAAGAGTGAAGGGACTGATTATTTGAATGCAAATCTGAAGGTCACATAGGGCAATTTGTCAGAAATAGTGCTGTGAACATTGCTCATTAAAATGAATTCTGTCAATTGTCTGTCCAATGGTGTGTCTTCATGTCTTTAAAACAGCATCAGAAGCCATAATGTAAGTGTATATGTATATGGGTGTTTGTACACCAGGGATAGTTAGAGCAGGAAACAAAAGAAAAAACTTTGAGACAGGCCTATTTGCACAGAACTCTTACAATTGTTGTAGAATAATTCACTTTGATCTTGAAACTGATATGTATGTCTGTAAAGGTCAATGGTGCCACTGAGGGCTACATAATAAAGGATTATGCATCAATTCAGGGATCCAGATGGTCCCAGTATGTTGACGCTATTGTAGCAAGTTAACACTCTGGGAGGCATATTAACACTTTTGGACCACATGGGTACTATTAAGTAAATTATGGTAAAATGCAGCAAATTGTACTCAAGTGACCTGAAAGTGTTAATGCCAAATAAGTCACTGTTGCTCAGTGTTTTAAAGATTAATTCATATATTAGAATTGGCATAATTCACTTTAGTTATCCAAGCTGTCACATAGTTCAAAGTTAGAGGAGTTATTGAGTAACTCTGAGTTTTACTTTGATTGCAGCTGGCTAATTAACTGTTAATGCTGCTCCTAAGTGGCCTCCATATAGTCAAAATAATTCATTGAAAATAGATTATATTCAGTTAAATTCAAAAAACCCTTTTGTTTTACCTGCTCTGTATTAATAATTACTGAAATGAATGCAGAGATTCCTTGGTTTGTAGAGCAGGATAGGGACAGGCAGAGATAGGTATGTGAAAGAATAATTATAATATCTGTACCTTAAGTGTTAGAATGATGTGTATAAAATATGCTAGGTTATCACATAGAAATATTATGAAAAAGTCCCAGAAGTCTCATTGAAAGATTTTAAGAAAAAGTGATAACATATACTGTCTGAGTCTTGTTGGACAAAGAAAAATGAAGGTGTTCCATGGAAAGGACAGTGCTTATTAAGACATAAAGGGGAAAATGGAAGGCACATAGGTTTCCTCAGGTTCCCATTATATACCAATTATTGTGATAGTTTCTGTTATTTATATTATTAAATTCCTTTAATATTTCAAAGAAATGTTTTGGAAAATCTTCCAAAAATAGTTGTAATATAGACAGGAGTATAGAGAGCACTTAGAAACGTATTGGATACCTATGATGAGAAGATAAGCTTCACTACATTATCTTTCACTTATTACAAATTTATCATGTCGATTCTATTATCCCCATTAAATAGATGAAAAACAAATGCATGATGAAAGTAAATAGCTCCGTTAAGTATGCAAATATAAGTGGCAGAGCCTCTTTCTACAGTGACTTTCCTTTCCCAGTGTTCAGCAATAACATATAGAAGATTCTTGTCATTTGTACTATTCCAAACACTCAGTACTACCAGAGTATTTACCCTTTAAATATCTTTAGAAAAAAATTTAAGTGCTTTTTTCCAGCCTCTTATATAGAATATTATAGTTTTTTGGGGTTTTTTTTTTAAGTTTTGTTCTTTTGAACATTTGCTGAAGTTTATTGCACACTTGGATCAACCATTTTTCTCACTTGGTAGAGCACTGCTATCATGGTTCAGTATTCCTACAGGATCAATATTACATTTTATGGGTCAATATACCAAATTTTACATATGTGGAGCTAATTACGTAAAAGATCTTACATTTACTTAGTTCAACACCCTACTCTTTAAGTCACCTGGAGTTTTATTTTCTTTTTAATGACCAATACCTTTCTTACCCTTATTGGTTTTCTTTTCTCATTTCCGTTATGAACATCAGCACTTATTTTTTTTCATGTCCATTTTTACAAGGAAGAAACATTTTAATCAGTTTACCAGCATTACTATAGGCCCGTGTAGAGAAAAAAACACAAATCTTGTTATTAGCTGGGAGATTTTCTTTTTTTTACAGTTGACGATTTTCTTAATCATGGTGAGTTAATAAATTGGCCCTCTGTTTTTCTAAAAACAAAAAAGATGAAATGATGAAATAGTCTCATATGGTTACTTTTCCATGAAAGGTTACTTTGAAAAGCAGAATCCAACAACACAGAAAATAACATATCTGTTGTCTCTTTTGTGATTTAACCATTTCTTGCTGTCTGCTTTGAGTGACCATGGATGTGGTCAGGAGGTCTGGAGATGAGCCCTTTCTGTAGGGTTTTGTGGAGCCCCTAGCACAGTGCAGCCCAGGCACTTCCTTTGTTTTCCAGGAAGCCTTTGGCACCTTGCCTCCCGCACAGCAGGGAGAGGCTTGTTCTTCACAATTTACCTAGTTCTCTGGGCAAAAGGCATAGGGACATTTGAATTCATCCTTGAGCAAACTTACAAACTGCTATATGGCTTGAAACTTTAGATCACTCTAGAAATGATGAATTTATTACTACTAAAAATTTGTATTATATGCTTTCAATATTGATGCATTCTAATACATATGCAGTTATTAACCTATGTGATATATTAGACATTAAGCAAAGTTTTCTTTTTCTGAATAAGTATAAATTATTGAGTATAATTTTACGTATTTTCCAAACTCCTCATATGGGAGAAGATAAAGTATGTGTTTATCTAATTTTATTATTTGTAATTATTCTCAGCTCCAAATAATACATGTGATGAAAACGCTTTCATGTGCCGTAATAAAGTATGCATTCCCAAGCAATTTGTTTGTGACCATGATGACGACTGTGGAGATGGCTCTGATGAGTCACTACAATGTGGTAAGTACATCAAAAATAATACAATTTAGAATTATCAGAAAAACTGGATATTTAACATTTTATCTTTGTCTTTTTAGGCATTTACTGATTTGTTAATATTTAACATAAATATTTATATACATATTTACCTAACCATCATATTATATATATATAGCTTTCATTTTAAATATCAGTAGATTAAAAATGCCCAGTTGAAGTTTAAATGTTATATGAATCTAGTGATTTCATGAAATATTTAAATGAAGATGAATGAATAAATATATGTAATGAAAAACTGTGAGATCGATATTATGCCTATGGAAGGCAAGAGATTTAGTGCCCACCTTTCTCCTCCCTGTGTGATGTGTATTGCCCTGGCAATTGATATGAATCTCACTGAAATCAGTGCATATAAATTTTTATGATCATTTCACCATTAAGTCTTGCATTCAGTGTGACATTTTAAAAGTTACATAATAACTCAAGGTATAAATCTGAAGTAGACATGTATCTGATTGACTTTCTCCTACTAGACACAGAATTTGGTTGATGTGGAAATGAATGAGACAAGGCCCACTTGAAGAAATCCTAGACAGACATATAATGTAATATAATAACATAATTTGTCAAATTGGGACAAGAGTCACAATACATAGGATCAGATCTGAAAAAATAATTTTTTCTTTCTTTTTTTTTTTTTGGTTTGGAGACATAGTTCAACTCTGTTGCCCTTGATAGAGTGCCGTGGCACCATCATAGCTCATAGGAACCTCAAACTCTTAAGCTCAAATAATCTTCCTGCCTCAGACTCATAAGTAGCTGGGACTGTAGGCACTCAGTTGATTTTTTTATAGTTAGCAGAGATGGGTGTCTTGCCCTTTCTCAAACTGGTCTTGAACTCCTGAGCTCAAGTATTTCACCTACCTTGGCCTCCTGGAGTGCTGTTAGGATTAGAGGGTGAGCCACTGCACCCAGCAGAGAAAAGAATTCTTGAAAGCAGAAGAATAGAAGGCAGGAATGTTAATCAGAGGAAATAATATTTAGATGCTAGAAAGCATCACCTGATGGTTAGTAGCATAAACCCTGGATCCAAATACTCTGGGATCAAATCCTAAATCTGCCACTTACCTGCTATGTGACTCTGGGAAATTTACTTTATCTCCCTGTACCTCAGGTTCCTCATGTATAAAATATGCATAGTAAACAGCATTTAACACTTAGGGATGTTAAGCAAATTAAATGAATTTATGTTTGAAAGTGCTTAGAGGAATTCTAGGCATATAGTAAATTCTACTATGTGTATAGTAAATTCTATGTGTATGTACAAAGGTTGTGCATTGACTTGCTTAGGCAATAGCAATTAGTATTCTGTGAGGTAAGTTGAAGTTAAAAACTTTAGTTTCAGCCAGATTTGAAAAAGTCTAAAATACAATGTTATAGAATTGTATTTAATTATTTTCCCTCTTAGAGGCCAGGATACCTTTAAAATAGGAAAATGGAATGTCACAGTCTAATTTATGTTTTAGAAAGATCTTTTTAGCAGAATAGGAGAAATATTGGTGTGGAGCAAGGGAACTATAAAGGAAAAATAAACCATGGGAAGGGTGGAAAGGAAGGTGGCAGGCTTCATTTATAATTGGATCTGTAGGATAAAACAGAATTTTTAGCTTGGA